TGCTTCATTCTCTCTCTATTCTCCCACTCTGCAGAATCTATTAGTTCAATCTCTAACGTTCTGCTCTCTCTGCTTTTTCTCATAGTAGCTTCATCTGGTCTGTTCCTGTTTGGCTGTGACTCCATCCTGGAGAGAAATATCAGCTGTGCTGCTGCCATCAACACCTTTTCTTAAAGATGTAGGAGATCTGCCTGTTTTTCAGTGTAGTCCTGTTTCTCTGACTGTGACTAACTGGATGTGCTCTCTTCATCCTCTGACATGGGAGTTGGCTCGGAGCTCGTCTGCCTGGCTGTGTGTTACGGGGCCGTCTGTGGAGCGGGTTTAAAGTTGCCTTTTGTATCTATGCTGCTTTTTGTATATCTGCTTCTGTCTCCTTGAACCCCAGTCAGCCTCAGCAGATGGCCGCTCACACTGAGCCTGGTTCTGCTGGAGGTTTCTTCCTGTTAAAAGGGAGTTTTTCCTCTCCACTGTCGCTACAAGCATGCTTAGTGTGCATAAATGAGGACACTCTATCTAGATATTTAAATAGTATTTGTCTGCTCAATCTCTAACTTTATTTACTTTTTGCTCTTATTTTTCTCATCATAGTAGCTTCATGTGTTCTGTTCCTGTTTGGCTGTTACACCGTCCTGGAGAGAAATATCAGCTGTGCTGCTGCCATCAACACCTTTGCTTAAAGATGTAGGAGATCTGCCTGTTTTTCAGTGTAGTCCTGTTTCCCTGATTGTAACTGGCTGATGTGCTCTCTTCATCCTCTGACATGGGAGCTGGCTCGGAGCTCGTCTGCCTGGCTGTGTGTTTCCTGGATGGGGCCGCCTTTTACAGCTGCTTTTTCTATCTCTGTATGCAGAGGTGTGCACAGACATTTTGGGGGGCAGGTGCTCAGGAGGGGGGGGGGCACTTTTTAGCGCACGTGGAACACTTAATTATAAAAAAAATACACACATGTTGAATGAAATTTGACTTTTATTTGTAACATTCTCTAAACGTGAGTTTTCAATGAAAAAAAGTCACACCACCAACAGAACAGACTAAAGCTCATCTTTCTTTTTCTTTCATCTGGCTCATCTCCCCGTTTTCCCTCATCCATCTGCTCTCCCTCATCCTGCTGTTCTCCCTCATCCATCTGTTCTCCCTCATCCATCTGTTCTCCCTCATCCATCTGTTCTCCCTCATCCATCTGTTCTCCCTCATCCATCTGTTCTCCCTCATCCTGGTCTTTTTCTGTCTCTGTGTTTTCCCTGAACTCTTCCTCATCTCCTGTCCTGGTAGATGTTGATGGTATAGAGCTTCCCTGCTGTGACTGGCTACAATATAATAATAATAACCATCATGACAATAATAATGATAATAATGATAATAATAATAATAATAATAATAATAATAATAATAATAATAATAATAATAATAATAATAATAATAATAATAATAATAATAATAATAATAATAATAATAATAATAATAATAATAATAATAGCTTTAACAAATATGCCACATTAGTTTAAATAATGGGCTATTAGGGCAACATGACTGGAAGTCTTGTCACGTGGATATGACTTATGGTAGCCTACAAAATAATAGCTATTTTAATACCTGCTTCACAAACCACTTAAAAATAAAATGTGAACAGCTTTTAAGATTTTTCAATACGATTAACCCTCCTTTCTTGGCATTGTACTGCAATTACTAAATCAATATACAATTAAGACAATAAAGAGACCAAAATGTGTTAATTTATGTTGCCTAACAAAACCTATACAACAGAATTCTGAGATTAAAGTCAGAATTCTGACTTTTTTCCCATACTAAACTGAAATAAAATTTAAAAATCAGTTAACTTATTTTTTAGATTTGCAATTGCAAACTCTACCGAAATTATTTGTAGCCTATGTGGTCGTCCTCACGTTATCTATCATTGACTTGGGCTGCAGTGTAAAACTTTCAGAATCAGGTTTATTGCCATTGTTAGTGAAGGAGTTCACAAACTAGGAATTTTTTGTGGTACAATCGTACAAAATGAAACATATAATATGGAATAGGTAAATAAAATTATAAAAATATCTAAAAACTGTGGGTATACGTCATGCAATAAAATAGACTAATATATACACTTAAGATAAAAATATGGATATAAAATATAAAAAGTAAAATAGCATCTTACAAGGAGACGACTAGTTTATCAGGTGACCAGTCGGCAAAAATGCTTGTTTGGTGCTGCTGAATGAGACATTTTAATGCACAACAAAATGATTTGCTTGATCTGTATATTACCTGGCTAATGGGGCACGGGAGAAGCAGCCTGTCAGCGACCGTTCCTGCTATCTGAAGACGCTACTGAACTGCTATGATGCTGCGCATCTGGCATGCCCTGCGGGCGACCGCGCGAGTTCACGTGACAAAGGAAGAGAGATAGGCTGCTCGGGTGTGTAAGGAGGTGGCTCATTTCGGGGCATTGTTTCAGTCGTTTTTAATGGCTCAGGTTTTCAAAAGATCATTTCAAAACCGACATCAGTAAAATCTTAATAATATTAATAATAATAATAAAAAAAACGAGTTTCAAAAGGGCATTTTCTTTGATAAAGGGCAAACTTCCTAGTGCTTTAGCACCACCTAGTGTCTATGTATGCACGCCCCTGTCTGTATGTGTCTCCTTGAACCCCAGTCAGCCTCAGCAGATGGCCTAACACTGAGCCTGGTTCTGCTGGAGGTTTCTTCCTGTTAAAAGGGAGTTTTTCCTCTCCACTGTCGCTACAAGCATGCTTAGTGTGAGGGATTTCCTCAGGGCTTGTTGATGCAATCAACTGGTTTACTTTTGATAGAAAACTTTGAGTCAATTTGACTGGATGATCTGGTTGAATTGTTTCTGTAGTGCCAAGAGAATTGGCACTATATAAATAAACTGAATTGACTTGAATTGAAGTTCTGTTTTCCAACCCTGTAGTCTGTTTCTTTCCACTGAGGGGGTTTTGTGTTTAATGCATCTCAGGAAAGTTGCATAAAAACACCTTGCTACTTAGGGAAATGTCTTTTTTCTGTGGTTTTTGTTATTGGTCTTTGACTGTTGCAAATACATAGAAACAGACATCAGAAAAACACCTAATCAAGTTCAAATATTTCCTTCAGAAACCCCTCCCTTCAATAGCCAAGGTTACATGTTGGGCCTGACAAACCAGATGACTTCAAACTAAGGCGAAAACAAAATCGGTGTTACATGAACAGACATGTTTATATGACCTTTTCTCATAAATATTGAGAAATTTTCAATGTGCACAAGTAAGGCTGTCTTGTTCTAAACTCTAAAGTTACTTTAAAATAAACAATTCCTACAATCAGCTTGAGATTTGTCCATGTGTGCTTCTCTATGTAAAATAGACATGGTTAGTTTTATACAGCTGTACATTTGACCTAGATTAGTGTGTGACTCATGCTGTAAGACCTGTGGGAAATGATGAAACATCAGCTCTACCTGCTTCGGAAAAACATTTATTGAGACCAAAAAATTATGAAACTGAAAAGCCGTTTTTTAAAAGTTATACAGTACAGTGGCTGAACGATCTCCACGTAAAAATAAAAACATTATTTCAGACACAGCAGGAACAAGGATGCATAGAACGAGCTTTCAGCTGAGGCTCTAGGCTAAGAAACAATGAGACTGAAAAATGTGGCTGAGCTTGTTGGTTGCTCACATTAAGACAGCTTAGAGTTACCACTCTCTAACACACCCGATTAGTTTATTCACTTTAGATCTTAGTGCATTTTCAAATAATAAATATCACAGAAACATTTAAAACATGAGCAATTACATGAAATAAAGCCATTCACCTTGACAAATATGAAGTAATTTTATTTAATTTATTCATTATTCACTGTAAGAAAATGTGGCTAAGTGATATAATCTGTTGTGTTTTATAATATTCCGTTGGGTATAACAAATATTGTAGGATTTAAAGCAACATCTTCAAGAATTTCAAAAACAAAAGCTCCTGTGGATTTATATATAGGGGGAGACCGGGTATGGTTGTCACATGTTTTGAGTTGTAACACCACCAGTTCCAGCAATCAGGGATACAATAGGAGTCGCAGGATCATTTCAGTGTTTACCTGCTTCTTCCCCAATCCCATATTGTGATTGTCAAGGCTGGAAACAGGTGGATGCAGATACTAAGTAGAAAAAACGGATTTTGAGGTAAGAAAGTAAATTTTTTGACCATGACTATATTTTGTTTAGTACTTATACTGTTGCAGATAAAACCATATTACTTACATTAGATGAAAGTGTAATTTCTCAGGCAAAATGTGATTCATTTCCCCGTGCTAATTTCAAACCGCTATGCTACTACAGCTAGCTAAACATGGCTGACAGGGTTGGGGTGGGTTGTAACACATCTTTAAAAAGTGTTACCCTATGCAGTCTCTGGGCCCACCAAGCCTGCACTCCTGGGCTACCATCATTCATTTGTCACCACTGTGACTCTGATTAAAGATACACACACATAGACACAACCACAAGCACACACAAACACATTGACATTGTTTTTTTTTAGACCTACATGTTTGTTCAGTGTTCATTAAGCATACATTATACATGTTAAGGAAGTTTTTTCTAGTAGAATAATTTACACACATACACACACACAAACAGTATATTTGAATTATGGTCAGTCAGAGAGAGAGAGATTGTTCTTGTATTGTTCTTTTAATTCAGTAAACCTATTTTTGAAGCATATCACATGGTGTGGCCTCTGTTTTTGCTTCTTTTGTCTAATTGTTACAACTTACCCCAGCAGGTGTTACAACCTATCCCGGTAGCGGGGCAGGTTGTAACAAAGGCACACCATGTATTTGACATGAACTCATTAAGTCTGTGATATTCTTGAAGAGGTTTGAATTGGTGCCATTTGTAGTAAACTAATGTGGGTATTTTGTATAAAAGTTTGAAAACTCTAGCTCAAATATTCTGTGAGTTAAAGGTGCTGGAGCAAAAAGTGTTACAACTCCCCATAGGCCAGCTCTGTGATTTGATGCCCTCTGTAAGAATTTATAACCATAAATGTTTCCAACAACCTTAATAAGTTGTTAAATTCATGCTGATTTTACAGTTTCTACTTTAGTCAGTTAAATAACATGCTGCTGTCATTTTGCAAATAACTAATGTTGTTGCTCTTTTCAAATGTCCATTATTGTAAAAATTGTCCATAGCTGTTATTGGTTATTTATTCTCCAGGTTCACAGTATTTATATTGTTAAAATACTTTAATGTACAATATTTAATTGTTTATCTTTTACTTTTCACTATTATGTTATTGTTACAGAGCCAGCTCTGCTACCTTTAGCTCTGACACCTCCACTCTCTGTCAGCCAAGGTAGAGTTAAATAGGTTTGTGGAGTTTTTTCCTGTCAAGTCCCCTGCCTCATTGTGTGTTTAGTCTTCAGTGATTCATGAGCCCAGCATTGTAACAATGATTTACTTATCATTCTGGTCTCAAGTTCATTTCATTAGATCTTACATAAATTACAAACATAATAGAAATATTTTTAAAGAGGAAATAGTGATGGTGTCGGTGGGGGAGTTCTCACACTATTTGTGTCCTGTTGTTCACATATTTCCCCCTCTTGCCCCTGATGCTGGAGGCCTTTTTGCTGCTTTTTCCCCCCGATCCTTTCTTTAGCCTCGTGCTGCTGCCTCCACTGTCTGACGACGTCTTTTCCTCTGGCTTATATAACTGATATTGCAGCAGGTTCTGCAGATTCTGACTAGTGTAGTGTTCCTGATCAAGGGGCTCCTGGCTGCAGCAGAACCACTTGGTGTAGCTGTAGAAAAGTTCTGCCAAGCTGCAAAGTGCTGATAGGACCCCCACAGCAAAGTAGAAGAGGAGGAAGATTGTCTTCTCTGCAGGGCGGGAGGTGAAGCAGTCAACTGTGTAGGGGCAGGGAAACCGGCTACAGGGGAACTGTGCTTCCACCTTGAAGCCGTACTGCCACCACTGGCCCACCAAGAAGCCCACCTCAGCAGCGAGTCGAAAGACCACGTTTATGATGTACAGCCTCCTCAAGCGGCGCTCATCTATGATGTTCTGAATTTGGTCTTTTTTCGTCTTAGGGCGTGAGGTCCTTTTGTGACGATGATGAGTGGCATACATGAGGTAAACCAAGGATGGCGTAGCAATCAGGACGATATGAAACACCCAGAATCGGTACTGGGAGATGGGGAAAGCCATATCATAACACACCTGCTTGCAGCCCGGCTGGAGAGTGTTGCAGGAAAACTCCTCTTGTTCATCTTCAAACATGTCAGTCGCAATAGTTCCCAGTATCACTATCCGAAACACTAACATGAGGAAGAGCCAGAAACGTCCAAGCATTGGTGAGTCGGCCTGGAGGTTTCCAAACAGGCCACCGAGGAAGTCCCATTCTCCCATGGTTACAGAGCTGCCAGGTGTCTCTTTCTAAAGAAAAAAAAAATCTGCTGTTCCTTGAAGAGAAAAACAGTTTCTGGTTTCAGAAGAAAGTTAAGTCGAGATTAACATACCCTATATATAATTAATTGACCTGAAACAAAATACATAAAACACACATTTGAATATTGGAAAATCCACAGCTTAAGCTGGCCTTAATTTAAAGTCCTGATTTAGAATTTTTCAAAGGTAAAGTCAATTTAACATTTAAAAGTCCTACAGAAACACCACCGTCCCACAGCTATTGTGCTAAAATGTCATTTATATTTAATTTTGCAGGCTTACTGACATTGGATAGAAGTTTCCTTTCACCTTCAACCAAAAAGTGACATTCCATGACATTTTTTTCTGATCTAAATTTGTTAGAAAGGAAATATACTTACCTCCAACTGCATTCTGCCTATAAACAGTATATTCAGTCTGTAAATATGCCACTGCCTTCAAGCCACTTAATTACGGAACAGGTCTATCCTGAATTTGGCTGACGTAAACCTTTTAAAGGAAATTTCTTTCATTTAAAATAAATGCCTGATAACTTTCCAGAAGGAACTCAAAGGTAAATTGAAAAAAAATAAACTCTTAAAAAAGCAAGTTGGTCCAAAAAACAGCAGTCCAGTCCTCTGTTAGATGTGAAATCCACCTGCAACAGAGCTTTTTACAAGCCAAAATTTTGTTACACCACTAATAAATGTGAACAACGCATAAAATGCTTTGAAGTGGTTCTTGAACTTGTACAGAATACGAATTAAAGCGCTTATGGGTTATTGACCAACTTAATCTATGACTAGGCCTACATTATAACACATATATCTGACCGGTTGTGACCAGCATCAAGAGTAGAAAAAGACAGAAATACAACATCCAATTCATCTTACTGAGGGTATGATTTATTTAGTTAACACCCTGCTACAAATCTAATTGATTGTATAACTGATTACTTGTCACAGTCAGCATTCACGTTTACCTTTTTTAAATTTTGTTTGCTTTTTATTTTTTGATTTTCACATTGAAATATTATAAAATTTGTATTTTTACCTTTGTACATATTATGTACAACTTTGTTAAAATGATTAAATGTGGTTTATTTAGCATAAGATATCTTTCTTGAAAAAGTCAGCTAGTTAATGACTTGATGTGATAATCACATTGACCTATGTTGCTTCACAGAAACCTGGCTGCAGCAAAAGGATTGTGTAAGTATAAATGAGGACACTCCATCTAGTTATTTAAATAGTATTTGTTTGTTCAATCTCTAATTTTATTTCCTTTTTTTCTCTGATTTTTCTCAGCTTAGTAGCTTCATCTGGTCTGTTCCTGTTTGGCTGTGACACCGTCCTGGAGAGTAGGAAATATCAGAGTTGATCAACACCTTTGCTTAAAGATGTAGGAGATCGGCCTGTTTTTCAGTGTAGTCCTGTTTCTCTCTTACTGTAACTGGCTGATGTGCTCTCTTCATCCTCTGACATGTGTAAAGAGACAGAGACTGGACCCAAATAAACCCAGACAGGTTAGTGACGTTTTACTTTGAAGATTTATTGAGAGGGTTAATCAGAAAGCGGGGCTGGATCTGTGTGGGCAACTGGCTGCAGGAAGACAGGCGGGTAGATTGAGGGAGGATTACCAGTTTTATCCAGGACGGAGAGGCAGGCAGTCAGGCGGAGCTTTTCAGAGTCAGAGATCCAGAGAGAGGGAAGCAGGCAGGCAGAATCAATCAGGGTTCGGGCAGGCTCGGAGTCAGGGGGCAGATCGGGTCGGAACCAGATAGGCGGTCAGGTTCTTCCTTTGATGCTGGATTATTCGTAGCTGGTTGGCTTGAGATAACCCTGGTTTATAGAGGTAAACTATTTATCGTATAGGTTTGGAAACATTGCTGATCTGTTATTAACATTAAGGGCCGGATTTATCAAGATCCAATTTTGCGTGCAGTAATTTGCGCTCGCAAACTGGAATTTTGCGCAAGGGGCTGAGCCATGGTTTGCGGGTGATTTAACAAAGGTGATTGCGTAACTGGTGGCAAGTGCAAAACGGTTGGAGACGCCATATTTAAATGATGGTTTTGTGGTTTGCGGCAAAGTAGTTTGCAGTTTGTACAAACTAGTGCATTAAGAAATTTAAATCTTACAGTGACCCCCAACAAAAAAAAAAAAAAAAATATATATATATATATATATATATATATATATATATATATATATATATATATGTATATATAAAAACGTTGGCAACCTTTATTCCCTAAGGTGGTATGTGGCTGAATTTCTACTTCACTGCAGTAAAAAAAAAACAAAAAAAAACAGGTGTTTTGTATTGGCCAGTAGAAAAATGCACATACCAAATGGCTCACAAGAAGTGACTGTGGATGAGATGACTGCGCGTACGCATCCCTGCAGCATTGGCATGTTGCTCCACAGGCGCAGAGGGGAGGTCGGGGTTCTCCGTTAGGGCGTCAGGGCGACATGGCATTTAGAACGTCAGACAGCACTTCTGAACAACTAGATTGGGAGATCCAATGTTGCAAGGAGTTTTGTGATATCTGGTATTGCGTGGGTCCTCCTTGTGGCTGGCTCCAAATCCATTCGGAGTTCCCCCAACAGCTCCAAAATGGCAATGCTGGATAAACGATATGTTTTGATGATCGTTTCCTCGTTCATTCCAAAAATATTCACACGGAGTGAAAAAATGCGTTCTCTGCGTCTCCTTGCTTCATTTCCATGTCTCCTTCTTGCGACAATAACCGCTGCCATGTGTGCGCAATTACGCATACAGACCATTTGCACCTTCTTTTGAAACATGTTAAATATAGAGTCAGATACCGTTAGCAAAATTGCTTTCAGGTTTAATAAATCACTTTGCGAGTGCTAAATTAATATATTTACATGTTCTCCTCCCACAAGACGCACTTTTGCGTGTAAACGCCCCATATTGCATATTCATTGCAGAAAAAGTACTAAATGGATAAGAGGCGCTATTTAGCATGTTTTAAAGACCAAATTCTTTTAGCACGCTGTTGATAGATCAGTTTGTACATTTTTTAGCGTGCGCAGTGAAATAGATCACGTTTTTATACACGCAAACCTTTGATAGATCCGGCCCTAAGTTTTTTAAACCTCTAGTTTCCACCATCAGACAAACAGATGGACAGAGAGGATGAATCAAGAACTCAAGTCAACACTTAGATGCCTGACCTCCACCAACCCAATGGATTGGAGCAGGTTCTTAATATTGGTAGAAGTGATGGTGACATGAATCCTCATGAGGCATTGAACCGTTTGGCCAAATTGCTTCAATGATCCCCACATTTCATGGAGCTCCATGTGAACATGTTGCCACCTACTGGTGGAGTGCAGAACTACAGTTAGTAATATAATCTGTGATGTTTGCAATTGTTTGTCTTGTCTTTTTCCCATTTAAGTTCCTTTGAAATTGCTCATGATTGGTGTGTATAATAAAGTCTTTTGTAAGTTTTTTTTGTGTAAAATGTCTTAGAAGAGAAAAATCTGTTAATGTACACCGTTTTTCTGCCATTTTAGTGAAATAAGCTCAAGCAGAAAGAGAGTGTTTGTGTAAAGTGGGCAATGATGAGCAAAATGAAAGGTGTTAGTCATTGTTATTCAAACATAATAATTTTTCGGGTTGGAAGTTATGTGTTCAACCAAAATATTGGCTAAACCAACCAAAACTAATTTGGCTCTGTTTTTACCCAATCTGTATTTGTACTGGGGAAACCAATAAAATTGATCATATCAGCCAAATGAACTGGTGAAAGGGAAGTGAAATGGAGTGCTCAAAGATGACCCTGCACATTTTGAGTATGTTTGGCTCAACCTGCTGCTGTGAAGCAGGATTCTCCACCATGAACAGAATCAAAAATAAATATGGATCCAGGTTCAAAATGAGCTCCTTGATATGTGATTGAGAATAGCTTTGTCTCCACACCAACCCAGGTGCAGCCTAAAGCCCACTGCTCTAATTACCAACTACCAGTTTTAGTCCGTGAGGCAGACACTCTGTCTACTTTTAAGGCTAGGCTTAAAACTTTCCTTTTTGATAAAGCTTATAGTTAAAGTGGCTCAGGTTATCCTGAGCTATCTCTATAGTTATGCTGCTATAGGCTTAGACTGCTGGAGGACATAGGGACCCCCATTTCATCATTCTGCTTCATTCTATCTCTATTCTCCTATTCTGCAGAATCTGTTAGTTCAATTTCTAACGTTCTGCTCTCTCTGCTTTTTCTCAGAGTAGCTTTGCCTCGTCTTTTCCTGTTTGGCTGTGACTCCATCCTGGAGAGAAATATCAGCTGTGCTGGTCTCATCAACGACCTTCTTTGTGGATGCTGGAGATAGGCCTGTTTTCCAGAGTAGTCCTGTTTCTCTGACCGTGACTGGCTGGATGTGCTCTCTTCATCCTCTGACATGGGAGCTGGCTCGGAGCTCATCTGCCTGGCTGTGTGTTTCCTGGACGGGGCCGCCTTTTACAGCTGCTTTTTCTATCTCTGCTTCTGTCTCCTTGAACCCCAGTGGGCCTCAGCAGATGGCCGCTCACACTGAGCCTGGTTCTCCTGGAGGTTTCTTCCTGTTAAAAGGGAGTTTTTCCTCTCCACTGTCACTACAAGCATGCTTAGTGTGACAGATTGTATTTGAGTCAATGATTCGATGCAATCAGCTGGTTTTCCTTAGAAAACTTTAAATCAATTTGACTGAATGATCTGGTGAACTGTAAAGTGCCTTGAGATGACATGTATTGTGAATTGTCACTATAGAAATAAACTGAATTGAATTGAATTACGCCATAAAAAAGAAAGAAAAAAAGGTCAGTTCAGGTGTAAAAAAAAAAGTGAATAACAGATTTTCTCTATTCAGACCCCGCTGATTTTTAATTGGTTAGTCCTGCTCTAGTGTTTTCAATCTTGTGCTGAAAATACTTCCTGGTTCTCAGCAAACCCTCCAGCACCACTGCCCCTTGACTCAGGCAAATCTGGCCTCAAAGGCAAAAGGCTCCCAATCCGTATCCTGGATTCTACCAGTTCTCCAATAAAACTCCTGTTCTCAAACATCAAACCAATAAGTCCTCTCAGAGTAATTTTTCTCAAGATTTTGGCTTCAAGTTCCAACTTTCTCATTCTCCTTAGATGTGTCTCCGCCCTGTAAACTACTTAAACCTAAGGAATTTAATGTTAAGATGAGGCAGATTTTTTCATATAACATATTTCAGTTGCAAAACGGTATAAAATGCTTAAAGTTACAATATTGCCATGCTTAA